ACCCCCTAACCACTTCCCAGTACAGGTCCTTTTAGAGAATACAAAGCCAAGTATCATTTGGTATAGAATTTGTTAATGATAACAAGAAAAGCAGTAAAATAAATCCCCTGCAGCTAGAAACAATAGACCCCCCCTTAGCAACAATAGATTCCACCAGCAACAATGCACCCCCACAACAAAATACCACCCCAGCAACAATAGACCCTCAGCAGCAACAACAGATTTCCCATCAGAAAACAACAATAGACCCCCCTCCTCAACAGTAGATCCCTTCAGGCAACAGTTGCCCTCCCAGAAACAATAGATCCCACTCCAGCAACAATAGACCTCCACAGCAACAATAGACCCCGATGCAAAAATAGATCCCCTCAAGTGACAATAAATTCCCCAGCAGCCAGCATCAATAGAACCTCCAGCACCCCTTGCCATTCTGTGGTAGAACTGCATTCCCCCACATTCCCACTGCCAAAAAGCCCTGCGTTTATATAGCTGTGACATATACCATAGGGTTGTACAAAGAACACTGAGCCAGTCACATTAGTATCTGCTTTACCTGATGGTGTGAACCTCAATATATACGTGTGTATGTGGCCGTAGTAATCGAGCATTAAGTAGCCGTAATTTATCATAAGGCTCTATGTGAAGGATCAGTGTACCAACGGTGCACGGATGGGCAGGGATGTTTGGATCTTTTTTGAAATACGTAGGGACATGTTGAAGCACCCAGCCCCTGATGATATTCTGTTGGGACGAAACGCGTAGGTCAGAGTTTTATGCACGGACGTAATCACGCTGCTGTTCTGTACCAAGCAGCAGCACTCTGTGTAAGTGTATTTGCTGGCTTGTTTTTAGTTTGGATGGAATTTTTTTTTCTATGGAATAAAAGTGGTTTTAACTTTCTACACCATGAGAGTTCCCTTTTTATTGCTTTTGGTGTTAGACTGAGTCTTTGCCAAGTGCATTCTAAACAGTGCTTTTCATGGCGGCTGAGGTTTTCTCTGGGAGGACGGCTGTTGTGCAGATCCAGGAGGAGGGCTCAATGGAGATATATGGGAGAGATCCCTTGATCATATCAAGCACAACATTTGGTAAGCCTCTTCTCTAATTTTGGGTGGAGGAATGAGGACTAATGACCACTGGTGGTCTGGAATCTGCGTTTCTTATTTTGGGTATTAAGTGGACATTTATGACTATATTATTATACATTTATGTAGCTCTGACCTATACTATAGTGCTGTACAGAGAACGTCGAGCCAGTCACTTCAGTTCCCAAACCAGAGGAGCTTACACTCTAATGTCCCACCCAGGAGCGGATTGACAACTCATGGGCCCCTGGGCACACTCAAACCACACCCAAAAAAGCCTATGAAAGGTACCAGGGGCATCTCATGGGGCCCCCTACTGACCCTGGGCCCTCGGGCAGTGCCTGAGTGCTCGAATGGTCAGTCCGACCCTGGTCCCACCACAGTCACACACTATTTTGATACATTTACTGTGTGCAGCTCTGACATATACAGTGGTGCTGTACACAGAACACTGAACCAGTTACATCAGTCTCTACACCAGAGAAGCTTACACTCTAATATCCCACCCCAGTGGCAGCAAATAAATTCAGACCTGTCCAATCACATTCAGCAGGCTTCTCAATGCTTCTAAAAGGGACTACAGGCTCGTGTCACTTGATTCTCTTTTGTGCAACCCCCCTCTCTCAGAACCGCTGAAGGTGGCCCTAGAACCTTCAACTTTCCCAGATTCAGCACCCTTTATGAAGTTCAGACACTGTCAGCCGAAGGAATGGGGCCAGCGTGGCGGTCAACTGCGGAAAGGTGAATTCCAGGACATGGAGGAGAGATGCGTCCAGTATAAATGGAACATTTTCACGCTTGGCTGGAATATAGATTGTTTCCTAACGTGCTGAACTCAAGCGGCGGTTAATCATAGAAATTCATTTGGACTTTAATCTCCTCCATTAAGAGAGGATAATGGCTACAAATGTCTGATTGGTCGTCACAAGATACGACAGGACACTGACTGTAATACTGCGGCATACTACGGTTAATAAACCGCCATTCAGTCCTGTTATGGATTCATTAAATGTTTGCATGCAACTAGTTGAAGTACCTAGTGGCCTACTGAGGGGGCAGCACTGCATTGCTGTGAATGGTGCTGTCAATCTAACGCTGACAGCATGCTTACAGGAGGGGAGAATGACCTCACCAGGGTGTTCACCTCACTATTCAATCACAGTCTGGGGTGGGCTGTGGACCATGCTCTGTTACTGAGCATGCAGTGTCGTACATGCCTGGCTGTCCTGTTTGGCAGGGATATCTGGATCACAACACCAGATGAACAGAGTTTACAACTCCTTTGCCAGTAATACAGTCAGGGCTGATGTTAGGCTGGCTGTAAGGGGGCCCCGAGGTTTCTAACAGCCCCCCACCCCCAAAAAAAAAAAAAAAAAAAACATAGTTTAATATGCTTCAGTTATGAATGAACACAGTGAGTGATCAGAATTAATCACTCATTGTCTTCATTCAGGAAAGAAAGGGGCTGGTAAATGGTAAATTACATATTTTCTGGACCCTTCTCCATCATGAAGGTCCCTATTGTGTGTGCTTGCAGCTACAGGGAGGGAGAGGAGGGAATCCAGCAGCACTGAAGGGGTGGGGGCACAAAGGGGGGGCACTGGGCAGCAGTGAAAAATGTATGATGGGTGCTGCAGAGGTGCAATTACTGGGACCAATCCCCTGTATGGCTCCTTCTGCAGCAGCTGAAAGCTAGTGGGAGGGAGAGGAGAAGAAGCTGACTTTCAGCAGCTGCAGAGCGAGCCATACAGGGGAGGGTCCCAGTAATTGCACCTCCACCGCACCCATCACCCTCCCTGCCCAAATCTGGTTGACCCAGCTGCCTGGGCCCCCCTACAGGCCTGAGCCCCGTACAGGGGGACTGGTGGTACCCCCTTATCCACGGCCCTGAATACAGTCTGCATATATCTACAACTAGTGGTGCAGAGACTAGTGTGGCTGGCTTAGCATTCTTCGAACACCACTGTAGTATGTCAGAGCCAGGGGTGTCCCTAGGGTTGGTGTCACCCGGTGCTGTAACACTTGGTGACACCCCCTCTGACGATCCCCGCAGGATGGATCGAATCTGCGGATTGAGCATAATGGATCAGAGTCCGATCCATTATGCTCCCCAATCCGCAGATCCGAACCATCCTGCGGGGATCGTCGGCTTGCTTTACAACTTACCTTTTTCGTGGAGCCGGTCCGGTGTCACCCCGTATAGGTTGCATGCCGACGATCCCCGCAGGTTGGTGCGGATGTGCGGATTGAGCATTATGGATCAGTGTCCGATCCATTATGCTCCCCAATCCGCAGATTCGAACCATCCTGCGGGGATCGTTGGCTTGTTTTACAACTTACCTTTTCGTGGAGCCAGTCCGGTGTCACCCCGTATAGGTTGCATGCCGACGATCCCCGCAGGATGGTTCGGATCTGAGGATTGAGCATAATGGATCAGAGTCCGATCCATTATGCTCCCCAATCCGCAGATCCGAACCATCCTGCGGGGATCGTTGGCTTGTTTTGCAACTTACCTTTTCGTGGAGCGGGTCCGGTGTCACCCCGTGCGGTAGATGTCACCCGGTGCGGCGCGCACCCCCCCTGCACCTGCCTTGGGACGCCACTGGTCAGAGCTATACAAATGTAAAATAGTAATAGTGTATGAATGTGGGGGGGCATTGGAGTGTAAGCTCCTCTGAACCAGAACAGAAAAAAAAAATGTCCCATAATGCAACAGATTAACTCTTGTGGATGCTGTAAACTGTGATGACGGTCTGCACGATGCACTGGAGGGGCTGAGCACATAGTTTGTGCGGGGGACGGGCTTTGAGTTTGCGGATAGGCTGCTCTGAAAAGGAAAGGCGGTTTTATTTAGAATTTCCAAGCAACATTCTGCTCTTTTGCTGATCTTGTGATGAACAGAAGGGAAATGACAATGTGCACACATTTTGATAATATGATGTGTATATCCTGTAATGTTTTATATTACATACCTTTATCTCTGTTTGTGAAAGTCATTTTGGATGAGACTTTCGCATTTTTCCTGTTTGCTGTTCCATATTTGTTTGTACTTTGTATATAGATTTGTAAATGCTCCCTCTAGTGCCCATCTGTATATCAAGAATGAAATTAGCATTTTACTGAGAACACGTTGTATTAAAATATTATACAGGCGCACCTCGGTTTACAAATTGAATGCGTTCTGCGGGACGTTTCGTATTGCAAAAAATTCGTAAACCGAAACACGGTTTCCCGTAGGAATGAACTGAAAACCAATTAATCCATTCCGGAGGTCAGAAAAAAGTTCAAAACTCTTTATTATTTATTTCAGGTACTAATATAGCGCCATCAATTTTATGCAGCGCTTTACATGTATATTGTACATTCACAACGGTCCCCGCCCCCGAGGAACGTACAATCTAAGGTCCCGAACTCACATTCATACTTACACATACTAGGGCAAATTTAGACAGGATCCAATTCACCTACCAGCATGTCTTTGGAGTGTGGGAGGAAACTGGAGTACTTGGAGGAAACCCACGCAGGCACAGGGAGAACATGCAAACTCCAGGCAGATGGTGCTGTTTATAAAGTGCACTTTAAAGGCATAAAGGGACCAATCAGTGATCGCATGCAGAGTAGTAAGCAAGATGTCACTTCTGACATCATTGCTTGCTACGTGTGAAATCTGTGAATGATCACAGAGATCACATGGTACAGGGCCAATCACAACAGCCTTGTACCATGTGACAAGCTGTGAACAATCACAGCTCTCACAGTATTTCTCAATGTCTGCAAGAATGCAGCCACAGAGAAGGAGAAATGATTGCTTTTACAGCCTTTATGGGTGTAAAAGCAATCAGTGTAAAAAAAAAATAAAAAAATCTTCATCACCCCTTACAAGTAGTACAGTGTTACTATGGTGACACTGTACTGCTAGGGTGACAGTATGTGAAAAAAAACCCCAAAAAACAACATAAATAATAATATATAAAAAAACTAAAAATGTAAAAATATATTTAGAAAAATATATAATTTTTGGTTATAAACTAATTGGGGTTATTTTTTTTTTTACTGAAAAGGTACCTGAATAAATTTTGGCCAAGATCTATGATGAAATATTATTTATTTGCAAAATTTTATAAGAAAAACACTTTTTTTCAAAATTTTTGGACATTTTGATTTATATAGCAAAAAAAAAAAAAATCCCAGTGGTGAATAAATACCACCAAAATAAAGTTTTATCTGTCTCAAAAAAAATGCTAAAAAATTCATATGGGTACAGTGTTGCATGACCGCACAATTGTCATTCAAAGTGTGATAGCGCTGAAAACTGAAAATTGGCCTGGACTGGAAGGGGGTGAAAGTGTCCGGACTGGAAGGGGGTGAAAGTGTCCGGACTGGATGGGGGGTGAAAGTGTCCGAACTGGAAGGGGGGGTGAAAGTGTCCGGACTGGAAAGGGGTGAAAGTGTCCGGACTGGAAGGGGTGAAAGTGTCTGAACTGGAAGTGGTTAAAAGAATAACCCTGAACCACTAAAGTGTATATGTAGAAAAAAAAACTTTTTGAATTCTGTTTAGGAAGGAGTAGGGATTAGTTTGAACCCATATCTTTGCTACCTTTGTCCTGTTGAGTAGCCTCACCATCACTTCCTGCCCCAGAGACACAATAGGAAGTGAGAGGAAGTAGTTCCAAAATGAGGGAAATGCCCTCTTAGTTGTCATTGGAACAAGTGTCTCAATTGGAAGATTTCCTCTCTATTCCTGTACTGGTGACAACAGTAAAAGTTCTGATTTTCCGGTGGTTACCAGGACCATTCATTGTCATCGTTCAATCCCATTGATGTGACTATTTCTATTATGGTGACTACATTGGTAACTAGGCCTAAAACCCAAAGACAGGTTGGCATCTAGGACAATGGAGCCCTGTCCCCCTGGGTAGAGGTAGAGGGAGGGGTGGTAAGACAGTCCTAAATTACACAGGCTGTGAGTACAAGCTGACTACAATGTCACTGGTCCTCTTTAAGAAATATTAGCCAAGCTTTGATAAGGATTTCCTCTATGTGGAATTGTTCTTGAGTCGGGAGCCTCTGAATATAGTGGCCACGGCTGAACGAGTGCACACAGGAATCTACTGACAGTGACATATACTCAGTGACAGATCTAGGCTACGAGAGACCATGACTTCCTTTATCAGCAGTTCAGTCTGTTGTCTTTTATTCCAGTGAAAGAAGTCGAAATTCCCCCATTCTCACCTCTTTTATTCATACAACAGACGGACTAGATCTATGGGTGATGGTTTCACATATATGAGCCCCCTTCTTCACTCCTACCACCCCCAGCCATATATACCAATCTAAGACACCAACAGCACTGATGGTTAGAGGACCTTTCACCGACGTTCACACTTCACACGAATTAACAAGGCAAAAAATGAAAAATGTTATCAAATTCTTACCTTAATTTTCTTTTCCTGCTACCAATAACCCCACCTATAGGACCAGTTTTAATGTGTAAATGAGAGAGATAATGACTCCACATCATTCCATGTAACTAAACCAAGAGCAAGAGTGGGTCCATATGCTGCGATGGATAGGCAACAGGCAAGGAAAATTTAGGTAAGTATTTGATACAGTTTTTCGGTTTCCTTGCACCTACATGGCCGCATACTAACAGTAGAGGTCCGTCTCTATCCTCACCTACAGGACCAGTTTAAATCTATAGAAGAAAGAGACAAATGACCCAGCAGCATTCTACCTAACTAGACTAAGACTGAGGGGGTGTCCTTTACACTGCCATGGATAGGCATCTGGAAAGGGAAAATTATGGTGTTTGATTTTGAGTTTCCTGGTGAATACATGGCGGCATACTAACAATAGGGCTCTGTCCCTAACAGGACCAGTTTAAATCCATAAAAGAGAGAGATAATGACCCCCCACTGTATTCCATGTAAGTAAACCAGACCAATGGTGGGTCCATATGCTGCGATGGATAGGCAACAGGCAAGGAAAATTAAGGTAAGTATTTGATACAGTTTTTTTCGTTTTCCTTGCACCTACATGGCCGTATACTAACAATAGAGGTCAGTCTCTATCCTCACCTACAGGACCAGTTTAAATCTATAAAAGACACAAATGACCCAGCAGCATTCTTCCTAACTAGACCAAGACTGAGGGTGTGTCCTTTACACTGCCATCGATAAGCATCTGGAAAGGGAAAATTATGGTGTTTGATTTTGAGTTTCCTGGCGCCTACATGGCGGCATACTAACAATAGGGCTCTGCCCCTAACAGGACCAGTTTAAATCCATAAAAGAGAGAGAGATAATGACCCCCAATGACCAATGGTGGGTCCATATGCTTCCATGGATAGGAAACAGGAAAGAAAAATTAAGGTAAGTATTTGATACAGTTTTTCGGTTTCCTTGCACCTACATGGCGGCATACTAACAATAGGGCTCTGCCCCTAACAGGACCAGTTTAAATCCATAAAAGAGAGAGATAATGACCCCCCACTATACAGTATTCCATGTAACTAAACCAAGACCAATGGGGGGTCCATATGCTGCCATGGATAAGCAACAGGAAAGGAAAATTAAGGTAAGTATTTGATATAGTTTTTCGGTTTTCTCACACCTACATGGCCGCATACTAACAATAGAGATCCGTCTCTATCCTCACCTACAGGACCAGTTTAAATCTATAAAATAAAGAGACAATGACCCAGCAGCATTCTACCTAACTAGACCAAGACTGAGGGTGTGTCCTTTACACTGCCATGGATAGGCATCTGGAAAGGGAAAATTATGGTGTCTGATTTTGAGTTTCCTGGTGCCTACATGGTGGCATACTAACAATAGGGCTCTGCCCCTAACAGGACCAGTTTAAATCCATAAAAGAGAGAGATAATGACCCTCCACTGTATTCCATGTAACTAAACCAAGACCAATGGTGGGTCCATATGCTGCCATGGATAGGCAAAAGGAAAGGAAATTAAGGTAAGTATTTGATACAGTTTTTTGGTTTCCTGGCGCTTACATGACAGCAATCTAATAATACAGCTCTGCTCCTTTCCTCACCTCCAGGACCAGTTTAAATCAATAAAAGAGAGAGACGATGACCCAGCAGCATTCTACGTAACTAGACCAAGTATCATAAAAAGTAGTAGGCAGCAGCACTGTCCACTTTGTCCATAGAATATTGCACTTATATGATTTATTGCATATAGCACATTGATTTTGTACTTTTATTAGGGCTGTTCTCTCAAAAAAAACAAGTAACTAGACCACGGGTGGGTCCATATACTGCCATGGATAGGCACCAGGAAAAGAAAATTAAGGTAAGCCTTTGATACAATGTTTCAGTTTCCTGATGCCTATGTGGCAGTGTACTAGCGATAAATAATTCGCTTTTAGGAAGGGTAATGTTGAATCATTTAACTCAATTTTTTTTTTTAATCTGCTTTTCTCAAGGTGCATCACATGACCAAAAGTTTAGGCAGCCTAAGTCATGTAAAAAGGGTAAATATTTGATTAAATTTTTTGGTTTCATGGTGCCTACATGGCAGCGTACTAATGACAGAGCTCCTACTCTATGCCCACCTACAGGACCAGTTAAAATCTGTAAAAAGAGAGAAATAAGGACTCCACAGCAATTTATGCAACAATACTAGGACTAAGGGTGGGCTTGTATGCTGCAGAGGATAAGCACCGAGAAAAGAAAATTAGGGTGTTTGATTCAGTTTTTCATTTTCCTATTGCCTACATGGCAGCGTACTAGTAAAAGTGAGGAATAATGACCCTGCAGCAATTTACGTGATTATAACAAGACCGAGGGTGAGTCTGTTCAAACTTTGCATGAATTACCAGAGAAAAATATTGAAAATGTTATCAAATACTTACCTTAATTTACCTTTCCTGCTTCCCCTAACCTAATCCTACTCACAGGAGCAGATTAAGTCTATAAAACAGAGATATAATGACCCCACAGCATTCTGTGTAACTAAATCAAGACCAAGAGTGGGTTCATATGCTGCCATGGATAGTCAACAGGAAAAGAAAATTTTGGTAAATATTTAATAAGTTTTCTGGTTTCCTGGCGGCAGTATTCTAGCAATAGAGCTCCGCCCTTTCCCCTACCTACAGGACCAGTTTGAATCAATAAAAGAGAGAAATAGTGATCCTGCAGCAATTTACGTAAGTATATCAAGACCATGGGTGGGTCCATGTGATGCCATGGGTAGGCACCAAGAAAGAAAAATTACGGCAAGTATTTAATACAATTTTCTGGTTTCCTTGAGGCTATATGGTAGCATAGTAGCAATAGAGCTCGGCCCTTACACCCACCTAAAGGACCAGTTTAAATCTATAAAAGCGAATGATAATAACCCTGCAGCATTCTACATAACTAGGCCAAGAACGAGGGTGGGTCCACATACTGCCATAGTTAGGCACCAGGAAAAGAGAATTAATATCTGCTGCAATTTTTTGGTTTCCTTGCGCTTATAGTATATGACAGCATACTACTGAAAGAACTCAGTTTAAATCAATAAAAGAGAGATAATGACTTGCCAGCACCCTACATCCACAGCTAAAATATGACTGAAGGTCGGTTCATATGCTGCCATGGATAGGCACCAGGAAAGGAAAATTAGGTACGTTTTTGATACAATTTTCCGGATTCCTGGTGTCTACATGGCAGTGTACCTATCCCCACCTTCAGGACCAGTTTAAATTTATAGAAGAGAGATAATGACTTGCCATCACTCTACATCCAAAGCTAAAATATGACTGAAGGTAGGTTCGAATGCTGCCATGGATAGGCACCAGGAAAGGAAAATTAGGTAAGTTTTTGATACAATTTTCCGGATTCCTGGTGTCTCCATGGCAGTGTACCTATCCCCACCTACAGGACCAGTTTAAATCTATAGAAGAGAGAAATAATGACCCATCAGCAATTTATGTAATTATATCAAGACCCCATGGGTTGGTCTGCATGCTGCCATGGATAAGCATTAGGAAAGGATTAGGAAAGAAAATTAAAGAAAAGTATTTAGTTACATTTTTCAGTTTCCGTTGCCTACATGGCCACATACTATCAATGGAGCTTCGTCCCTATCCCCAAACACAGGACCATTTTAACCTTTTGCCGCCCGGCCAATGGCCGATTGGCGGCCGGAAAAATCACTCAGCATTTCCGGGTGGACGCCATATGGCGTCCTTTGGGGCATGCACAGTTTGCGTGCCTGCAGATCCGCGCAGTGGCGCGATCTGTCACCGGCTGTGTACCTCGGACACGGCCGATGACAGATCTGAGTACCGACCCTATTGCCGATACCATGTGACCTGCTGTGACCAATCACAGCAGGTCACATGACAGTTGTATACA